CTCTTTGTTTATGTGGCTTGCAGCCAATGAGAGTCTGGACTGATTAAAAGAAACTTTCTCATTTACGTTGGTTTCGGCTTTCGTTCCTGGACGGAGAAGGGGAGTCAGAACGTATATGTATATGTATGTATGTATGTAATACCACCTAGTTATCACCAAATCTCCAGAACCATAAAGCCTACAAACTTGAAATTTGGCACGTATGTTCCTCTTGGCTTCTAGGCACTCGATAAGAAAGGATTTTTCAAAATGACCATCAGATCATTAGTATTTCTTATACAGTAATTAACATGCTCTGATGCTAAGGAGTTCTACTCTCCCTCCCCACCTGAAAAGAACTCTGTTCCAACTGCCAGTTTTTCCCTCACATTCCGTTACCTCAGTTCACACTGGCAGTCATTCCACTCCTTCACTAAGGAACTTTACACAGAAGTAAATTTCTGACAAATGCATGTGAACACATCCAACCAAGGGGAACAAACAAACCAAAAAAATCCCAGTCTGCTTAAGCCAACTGGTCCCACTACTAAGATGCTCAGATTGGTAGGAAGGTTTTTTTTTTCCTTCCAATTGCCATCTGGAAACTTGTCCCTTGTAACTTGAGTTTTAATTAGATATTAAGGCTTAATAAATCAAGAGCAAAAACGATTAGCCTTGGCTAAAAATGCTGATTCCTCTGCAGGAAAAAGCCACGCACCCCATATTAATTTGCAATCTGAAGTATGCCAATATTTCGTCACATCTGCTTACTGGTGATTTCCCTTTTTTCTTTTCCTGATTCTAGAATTTTAAAAAAGTAGAGATGGATTATACCGTGGAGACAGAGGCCGGGCTTTCAATCTTGACCGATACAGTCGCTCACTCTGTCATTCAAGCGCACTCACATATAGATGCTGTATGAGCCTCTCTCACTCTCTCTTTCTGCAGGCTGATGGGAGGATTAATAATGCAAGAAAAGTCTGATAACTCTCAATGACCTTTGGTGGATCAAGCAAAGGATAATTCTGAAGAAAAAAAAATAACCTAGAGGTTGGGAAAAAAAACCCCATCCGAGCTGCTTTCCAGCCCATCCCTCCCCTTTCCAATTTTTGCCTCAAGGACGCAGGCAAAGGACCCTGAATTTAATACATGCAATAGAAAAAAAAATCTCCAGTAGAGTTTCTAAAGAGCAATAGAGAAGGTGCAGCCATGGAGGGCTGATTATTTAAGGGACCAATGTTTGAGGGAAAGATGGAAGCAAAGAGGAAGAGAAAAAGGAGGGAGGGGAAGAGGAGGGGAGTTAGGAGAATGGAGGGGAGAGGATAGGGAGGGAGAGGGTGAAGGGAGAGGAGAACAGAGGGAGGGGAAGGAACTAGAGAGGAGGAAAGGAGGGGGAGAGGAGAAGAAGAATGGAGGGAGGGGAAGGGACTAGAGAGGAGGAAAGGAGGGGGAGAGGAGAATGGAGGGAGGGGAAGGGCAGGGAGAGGAGAAGAGAAGAGATGGAAGAAGAATGAAAGGGAGAGGAGAGAAGAAGAAAGATGGAAAGAAGAGAAATAGAAGGGAGAGGGGAGCGGGAGGAGGAGAGGAGAGCCCTGAGTATTGGTCACTTCCCAAGAGGTTAAGGGAAATCCCTTCAATACATGATGAATGAATCTAATCCGGCAGAGGAAATCCCAAAAGGTCCATCATCCCCAGGGGAGATTTCAAGGTAGCACCTCCAGGTCATTCGGCCTCTACATGGGCTGCTGACCTCATTGTACGGAGTTAGCCTGGACTACAGTTTATTCCAGAATTTTGGGTAATTGGTCTCTGCCTCCACACGCAGAGCTGAACCTCGTGCATCAACCCCTGAAATGAACCGTTCCCCTTGGAAGGGACCAGGCTGCCCTAAAACTCCCTTTTGGAGATACTAAATGGATTTGAAAAGTTGACGAGGGTTAGGAGGAAGGGTCCCAAGAGAAGGGGCCCTTCTGTGCAGGGGTGCCAGAAGCTTTCCTTTCCCCCCAGACCCTTCCATTCACTGGCTCAAAGTTCACTCAGCCTTCCATCCTTCCNCTTGCCTTATATTAACCCGTTCTGATGCTAAGGAGTTCTACTCTCCCTCCCCACCTGAAAAGAACTCTGTTCCAACTGCCACTTGCCTTATATTAACCCGTTCTGATGCTAAGGAGTTCTACTCTCCCTCCCCACCTGAAAAGAACTCTGTTCCAACTGCCACTTGCCTTATATTAATGTGTTCTGATGCTAAGGAGTTAGACATTCTACTCCCCCTCCCCACCTGAAAAGAACAGTTGCCTCACATTCCGTTACCTCAGTTCAAACTGACAGACGTTCCACTCCTTCACTCAGGAGCGGTTTGGGGCTCCTTACAGTACTAAACATCGGTACCTCACCAAAATGTCTATGCCTTCCACGTATGGAACTGCTTCCGGACTCAAGGCGGCAGAAGAGATATTCCCTTATGTGTTTCAATCACCGGCCACTGAGCCAATTTCTCCTGCATAGCCCAATCACATGGTTTCATCACGAAGTATGGGTATCCAGCTAGTAAACTAATATAGTGTGAGGAACTAATGGTCATGAGAACCCTTCCTCTCTTTTTCTAGTGTTATGGTGGAACCATTATCTACTTACTTCTACGTACCCTACATCCAGCCTTTTCCAATTTTCATTCCATCCATAAATTGCAATGAAATGAAGCTACACCATACAAATAATGAACCAAAACAACAACCTGTTATAATATTGACAATATAGGACACAATAGACCTACACAGAGTAGGAAAGCATGATTTGGCCATCACTGTAAAGAAAACCTTGTTTTTCAGCTCCATCTCTTTTTGTCAAAGCTGGAGCAATCACTGATAGTTCTACAGAAGCAAATGATGCTTGAGATCATAAGAGATCTTCTACACGATCCTTTCTTTCTCTCTTCCCACTCTCCCCTTAGTTCCTCGGTGGTGTCATCCACTAATCATTTACAATGGGGAGGCTACCTGCTATTCACCCCGTGGAGGAAATTACCGCAGCAGCCTGGGGACACGCTGTGCGCTCTCCTGCAACCGTGGGTATCGCTTGATCGGCCCGAGGTCTGTGCAATGCTTAATGAACCGCCACTGGTCGGGGATTATCTACTGTAGACGTGAGTATTAGCTCAGATTCCCCTCCAAAGTCAGTCCCCACCAACACCAGGATAATCCATTATCAGTTGGGTGGGTGCTATCAAGCCACCAAGAGACGTATCAAAAGTTTGAAGTCTTGCAAGTTAAGCAGATGAGAGCTTGGCTTATGGATTATAATAAACCATAATTTGGCTGGACTAGAAGACCTCCAAGATCCCTTCAAGCTGTTCTGTTGTTGTTCTGTTCTGCTAGTTTTCTATTCTATATTCTATTCTATATTCTATTCTATGGTCTATTCCATAGCCTATTCTATTCTATTCTACTCTACTCTAATTTTCTATTCTATATTCTGTTCTTCTGTTCTATTTTATATTCTATTTTCTACTTTATTTTATTTTATATTCTATTCTATTTTATATTCTATTTATATTCTATTCTATTCTATTTTATATTCTATTCTATT